TGCTGAAGTGGGACTTTTCCAACTCCTAGTCTTCCAGGGAGGAGCAGAGGTGCTGAGTAGAAATTTCTAGGCTTGAGAGCATGACTAGGTTAACTGCATTGCAAACACACTTTCAAATAAAAAATGTAGCTATACAAAAAACATTTTGTTGATGCAGCTTCCTAGATCTCTTTGTGTGTGTTGGTACTTGCGCACAATGACATAAGTGTTCCCCATTTCTGGTTCCTCTTATTCTATTATAATAAAGAAAAAATGTTGTGGGTTGCCCAAGACCTGGGTGTTTTTTTACTGTATTTCTAGGGGAATCTGCTCAGCCTCCAAGGGAAAATCCATAATCCGTAATTAGAAATGCCATCAGCTTATCTGATTCTTTGAATGTCCTTGGTGCCTGCAAGTACAGTTTTGACTTCAGTGGAGTTTGGGCTATTCGACTACAGGACCTACGAGCATCCTTGTGCCTCGTGTTTCCAAGTGAGTCAGTGTCTCTGGAGTCCCAAAGGCAGCCAGCACCAGGCACAGCGATCTGGGACATGTGAAGCTGGCTCCTGCTACAGAATGGTTAACCTCTCTGAAGTAAGGCAGTCCCAGACATGCTGAAGTCAAGGGACTGTTTGTTTAAATTGTTTATATAAAACCTAATGAGAAATTCTGTACCTGTCTGACAGACTTCAAAGACCATAAATAAGGGCAATTGGGTGAGTCAGAGTGGGGCTCCCAGAATTGGGACTTGATAAGGTGTATTTTTTGGTGTTGGTCTGGGGCTGTTATCAGTGGAGATGGTGAAGTCAAGACATGCTGTTCATGAAAGCTATAGCCAGCATGTTGCTGCGGAAAAGTCCAGCTTGTGAGTGTGAGTTCATGCATGCTAGAACACATCCCCTGTGCACTAGAGCTTGTTGCAGACACAACCATCGTGGGGAGTTGTTCTACATGCTTTTTGTCTGAAGGAGAGATGAGAGATGCTGATTAGGAGACAAACAGAGTACAGAATTACTTTTTACTAGAAGGAAAAAAATACCATTTTATTGTCATGCTCATGTTTCTCCCCTTTAATTGAGAATGTCAGTATTTGTGTCTGTTGCAAGCTTTTCTGCCTTTCACTTTGTTGTAATAATGAGGAGAGGAGGGAAAGTATAAGACGTGAGTCATTACCCAAAGAGTGGACGCTGTCTGGGTGTCTGACAGAAGCTTTGATATTCATGTTTGGTTATACAAACTATTGTATTTTCAGACTGCCAGGGAGTAAATGTGCAGATCTGAAAACGTTTATGTGCTCTATATGTTTGCAAAAAGGAAAAACCATTGCAACAGAAGAGCTGTTTCTCTGTGTTCAGGGACTGAAACGGGTCCTTCAAGGCTACCTCTACTTATGCTTTTATGTATTATATGTTGCTGTGGCTTAGGGGTGAATTCCTTGCTCGTGTACATATAGCTGCAAATTATTCAAAATTGCGTGCTTTAAACCCCTATGTACGTAGAAGTAAAAACACATTTCATGACAGCTAGTATATAGGCTCATCATTTGCATGCAAAGAAAATTCCAGGATTAAGTAGAAGCTGCGACGTGCAGGCTGACCCTCCTTGTGTCTGAGCAGTAGATGGGAAAGTTCATGTGCTTAATTTTGTGCCTGTGCTTAATTCTGGAAGCATTCTGATGGGTGGAGGTGGGGAGATGTTGAAGGAAAACAAGCTGGTCTTCCCCCCTCCAAAAAAAGAAGGTTACAAAGATGTAGTCAGTGGAGAAAACTAGCTGGTCCTGTGGGCGATTTAACATTGCACTCACTTGAAGCTTTTTCACAGCAGTGGACCCTCAGCTGACCACTGATCCTGGAACCCTTCCCAATGGGCTTTCCCCATTGTAGGGCTAAGATAACATCCGCGGGGCCAGCAATAACTTGCTTGCTGAAGTTTTGCGCAATGAAGAGGATACAATCTTGCACCCTCCT